GCAGTCAGCCTTGCCTCTGACCCACAGCATACAGGCCTACACAGTACCTACCACACCACAACCTGTCCTGCTTGCATCTGTTGCTACTGGTACACTTGGGGTGCTAATGGGGATAGGATGTCCCCTTCTGCCTCAAGGAACCAGAGAGAAAAGAGAGCTGTGATTCATCAGTCCTTCCCCTCCAGACCAGCATGCTGGACTTCCTTCCATGCCTGGGGCTAGGTTGACTGCCAGATGAAAGGTCTAGTAACATTAGTTTTGCTTTGTTTTTTATTGTAGTCATAAAGCAGGACTGGCAAGCTGCTCTGAGAGTATTTGCTTTTCATCTGCCATCTGGGAGCTGGAGCTCCAATGGCTGCAGCTTTGGCTGGTCCCAGTACAGCCGTGGGATCACAGAATCACAGAACATGATGAGTTGAAAGGGACCCAAGAGGATCATAAAGTCCAGCTCCTGGCCCTGCACAGGACCCTCCCCAAGAGTCACATCATGTGTCTGAGAGTATCATCCAAATCTTGAACTCTGTCAGACTTGGTGCTGTGATCACTGCCCTGGAGAGTCTGTTCCAGCACCCAACCACCCTCTGGGTGGTTCTGATGGCATTGGTCCAAAGAATGGACAGGCCAGTGGAGAAGGCCTGGCTCTGACTCCCGCAGCTCTGCAGCAATCAGATGTATATCATCTCCTGCCCACTCCCTTGGGGTCGGTGAAGCAGAACTATGCCTTCCATGTGGTTCTTCCAACACAGACCATCGTCTATAGCCACAATTAGGTTTGTAGCACATGAAACAGCTCATACCAATGGAAAGTGGTCCTGGAAAAACACTCCTAAAGAGCTAGAGATGCCTAAACTGCCGCATGGTGCATTAAGCAAAATGCTGTCAGCACCTAATACCACCAGATATTATGCTCCATGCGTGAGCCAAGTTTTGTAAGCACTACATTGTGGTACAGAGTTGAAACTCATGAAGAGAAAAAAGTCAATTGCGAAGGTAATCAAAACATGTACATGTATGTATGAGTTATCCTAAGAAAAACTATCAGCAAAACATGCTTATGATGAGGAAGGAAACCTTGCTCATCCTCCTTCCAATCTCTCATAGCCAACTATAACACTTTCCTACACCACATCTCCACTGCTCACCTTGAGCGCCATTCATAGCACATGATGAGAACATCCTGCTTTGGTTGAAGAGGTGGACATTGGCAGGAGGAATTTGTAAGAAGAGGCACTTGGGACAGAGGAATTGGTGTTGAAGACTTAAGTATGTCTTTGACTTCAACCACAGTTGTTATCTCATTGCAGTTCCCTCTTTCTACACTTTTTACTTTAGCGTGAATGACTGAAAATAGAAAACAGATGCATGAGAACAATAAACGGTCTTAGAAATTTAAACACATCTCAAAATAAAATAAAACATATTAAATTGAAAGCTGTTGTTCCTGTTGTGAAACTAGAACTACTTCTTCGTGTGTGGGCATGAGCAGTGGCTTAGAATAACAGAGGCCTGATCCTGATTTAATTTTCAGTAGGACTGCTGACAACTGTGAAATTAAACATGTGCTTAAATCTTTGCCAGATCAGGCCAAGCAATCTCGCCTGGAATCACACACATGAACAGCTCCTTCAACTCAGACCCATTCTATAGCAACATCTGGTTATTTCTGATTAATAATGAATAATTTACCTCACAGACAGTTATCATGAATTCAGTCTTTTCAATAACAAAATCATTTCCCTGCAGATGGCAATCAGAAACCATAGTCTTTTCTTAAATACAAGAAAGAAGGGAAGGTTTGCAACAAGTTATCAAAAAAGTAAGAGGCTTAGGATTGTGACAATTTACTCAATCTATACTTTTTTTTCATCTTTTGCCTTTGGATTATCCATCAGTAGTGAGATCCTCATATAAACCAGATACTGAAACAGCTTCTTCTGACTCTGAATACAGAATCATTTATATTTTTACCTTTCATTGAGGAAAATTCCATGTTTGGATGGATGTAAGGTGAAACTGTGTAGATTGCTCTGAGATGATCCCTGGCAGTACCCACTACGGCAACATTTCATCCCTTCTCTCATGAGAAATACCAGATTAGAAAATTGAAGTGTGATTTTTACATGAAGGACATTGTCTCCAGGAAATGTCAAAAACAAGGTCCTAGTATCCAAAAATTCATCAGTGAAAGAAGCATAAGAATTGTAGGGACCACAGGGCGGTCAGCCTGCATCAATGCTGCCCCTGCCAGCCACCAGGTCAAAAGCCTTCAAATGAACTTCATAAAATTTGTAATAAACTTCATATGTAGAAAACAAGAGACCAAGTATTTTTAATGTGGTCTGGGGTCTTGTGCTACTTTTATCAGGACATGTATAACACACACAAAACACATGAGAAATACCAGTTTTGGAGATTCACAATCCCTTTTGAAGTTTGATTGGAAACCAAGTTCTGACTAGCTAGAAATACAATTTGTCAGTATGTATTATTTTAAAGGATTTCAGAAAAAAAAATTATTTTCAACTTGTTCAGTGTTGTCTTGTCTCTCAATTAATTTTCCACATAAACAAGTCTATTTATTTCAGAGGAGGCTGAATAAAAATTTGTCTCTCAAAAACAAAATCTTGATTTCACATATTCGATGGAATTAAATTTTGGACCCAAATCTATAGGCTTTACTCAAGGAACACTCCCACTGAAGGTACTGAAATCAGAATGTATATGACTAACACTTGACTTTCATTTTCAAAGTCATTTTATATCACTGCTTTTTCATATATTTCAGACAACTGCCGAAGTTCATTGTCCCACCTAAACATATTCCTATGTACTAAGACAGATCAAGGAATTATATAAAAAGAATATGTCATATAAATGCACCAAAATGCTACAACAAAAAAACCCAAAAAACCTGTACAACTACCTAAGTTAGATATTTAGGTTGATTATTCCCACCAAACTGGGGTTTGGATTTTTTTTCCATGCTAACAAAGCAAATAACTACAAACTTACTTTCATTTGATATCAAACAAATAGGAATTGAATGGCTATAATAACCCTACTGCAGAAGAACTGAATAAATGCCTTGAAGAAAAAACTGCCACCTGAGGAAAAGCCCATAAAGTGCAAAATACAATATTGCATATTAAAATCATAGTTAATAGGGGTTTTCTGTTGACATTACAGGTGATTAATCTGGCATTTATCTAATCTTAAATAGAGTTCTTCCTGACTCACACTATCAGAAAACCAAAGGGAGGGGGGAAGAAGTCAAGGGGGAAGAGGGGTGAATACTTGGCCAATATGTCATGCAACATATAATAAAACTATCAGTCAACTCCTTGGTTGGATGGTGCAAACTGTCACTGAATTCACTTAATCTCTAACAATTCTGCACCAGACAGAGCTCTGGCTAGTAAGTAAAAGTATATATGAATTTTAAAAAACTTTTTAATTTGCTACAGTTTTGTTCATATTTTGTTCATTTATTTTACATGTTTTATTTAGGTGGCAAATGTGTGTTTATTCTACCTGCTGGATGAAAACAGGAGCTGGCCAAACAGCAAGTGCTCATATTAGACGCAATTGCGCTTACTAGAGTGACCTTCACAGTAGCAAGCACTCTTTCTGCAGAGCAACCTGTTGATGTCAGTGCACATTACCAATGCTTCACTGCTTTTATCAGAAACACGCCATCACCTGCACAATTACTACTACTGCCTGCACGTGGTGTGTGCTAGAGGTAGGTTTTGGAAGAGGACAGCTAGTTGTCCCCGGACAAAAACCCACTTGAAAAGGCTGTGGAGGAGTGGTCTACTTGTGCCACGCTTGCTGGATGGGGCACGGTGTGGGTGAAGCATCCACACGGAGCTGCCTGACTTGCAGGGGACACAAAGAGGGTGTGGGACAGGCAAAATGAAGCATTTTCCCCCATGCACTTACTGTAGCTGTAGTTCTTGGCCAGGTAGTTTGACAGCGTAGGCTTTGTCTTTTTGCACCTGCACCGCTCTTCAAAGGAAGAGAAGGGAAAACGGTTGAGGGGTGTCAGAGTGAGCCTGTCTCCGGGGAGGGGGAGGTGGGGGGGTCGCCCAAGGCTCACCCTGGCCACGGCTCCTGCAGTCGGGCTCCAGGGGTCTGTCCGGCAGCATCATGCCCTGCGTGAAGTCCGTCCACTTCACGTCTGCAAACAGAGGCGCGTCAGGGAATGAAAACTGTCAGGAAAGGCTCCGGGACTGAGGCGTGGGGGTCCCGCAGCCACACACACACACACACACACACACACACACACACACACACACACAC